CTGCTACTGCTACTGCTCCTGCTCCTGCTACTGCTACTGCTACTGCTACTGCTACTGCTACTGCTACTGCTACTGCTACTGCTACTGCTACTGCTACTGCTACTGCTACTGCTATTAGTGCAACTACTTCTTCTACCCCCGCTGCTGCTGCTGCTGCTACTACTGCTACTACTACTGTTACTCGTACTAATACTAGTACTACTACTACTACTACTACTACTACTACTACTGCTACTACTGCTACTACTGCCTACTACTACTACTACTACTCCTCCTCCTCCTCCTCCTCCTCCTCCTCCTCCTCCTCCTCCTCTTGCTGCTGCTGCCACTCCTGCTACTGTTCCTCCTACTACTACTACTACTACTATTCCTACTGCTCCGTCTACTACTACTACTACTACTACTACTACTACTACTACTACTGGCTGCTGCCACCACGAGCGCCACCTCTGCTACCATCGCCATCACTAGCGTGCGCACCACTGCTACCGCTGCGGGTGCTTCTGCTGACACTACAACAACTACGACGACGGCAACGACTACTACTACAACTGCTACTCCTACTACTACTACTACTACTACTACTACTACTGCTACTCCGACTCCTACTGCTACTGCTCCTGCGACTGCCAGTGCTACAGACTGCGACTGCTACTGCTGCTGATGCTGCGCCATTATGAGAGCGACTCGTGTACTCTGATTTGACTTAAGCGTTTTGCGTACGAAGCTAATTCCTCGTTTGCAGTATTGAAAGCACTAGGAATACTAGCACTAGCAGTAGTAGCGCTGTGACGTGTCTGAACACGACTAGGTAAGTACCCCTTGTGGGTGCTTGTTTTGCTGTGTATATCAGAGGGTCATTGCCATTACGATGGTCGACTACTGACTACTGTTGCTATTGCCATCTTGCGTTTTGCTTCGGTCACCGCAGAATCCGCTGCCCAGCCTCGATCTGCATCTGCAGCAGCCGGGCCGTACGTCAAAGGCTGCCAGGCCCCCACCTGAGTTTCGGCAGCGATCGAAGGTTGAGTTTACAACTGTAGGCTGCAAACCTTCTTCAGCAATATCCAGCGATTATGTTTATGTCCCAGGTTGCCAAGCTTGTTCTTGATTTCTTTGCACCTTCCAGAACCTGTTTCGGTTGATTTCCGCCCGAGGAAGTTTGCTGTCACTCAGCTCATTCAGGAACACCTCGCAGTTAGTAGCGGACAAGGAAGCAGTAGCAAGAGCGGTGGGAGTTTTTGCATGCACTTCAGGCGTAGTCCTCCCGCCCGCTCGCCTGCTGCAAGCGAGCTCGGACAGACAGACAGACGGACGGACGGACAGACGGGCAGAGACCTCGATAAACTGCGCGCTGCCCTTCTGACGCAGCTATGTTTGAGCAATTGGGACCTAAAATCTTGGTGAGAAAAACCAGACAGGGACATCCATTTGCATGTTATAGGCTTATCCTTTCTTAAGGTACGTACCTACATTTTGGTGATCTGCTGTGAGCTTCACAGGACACAGCCAGTCAGTCACCCTGCCCCAAGAAAAGCGCAGGTGCGATCCTCTTCGTCCACTTGCGACTGGACTGCTCATACACACGCACGCACACACACACACACACACAGACAGAGGCGCATGCACATGCCTGGAATGCACGGCTCACGCTCGTTTTGCTGGCTGCACGGACCCATGACAGCATGGAACTCCGGTTGCCAGTTTCGAAATCACGCAGTGACAATTGGTTCATCTCCAAGCTAGCCAAGATGTGATTGTCAGTTTTTGTGCTACTGGTACCGGAAAATTGCACGGTCCCGTGAAAGGGCCAAAATCCCGACAGCTCACCACTTGTCAGCCTTGCTGTAGACGTAATTTGCGACATCCTGACCAGCACGGAAACATGTGGTGTCAGCGGCATGCATACTCAATGCCTATGGAATCCCCTGCACTTGCAAGCCCGCCTCGATGTCATCGGGTCCCAGCTTCTCGCCGAAAGCAGGCATGGCACCGTTGCCGTTGGTCACCTCTCTGCTCGACATATTGAACATGTGTCCTAAGCTTGGGGCCTTAAGAAC